GGTGACGAGCCTTCCAAACATTACTCCTACAATAGAGTACTTCTATTATTATTATTACTGTATTAATCTTACACTACTCTCCTCCACATCACCTTAATAAACATTATACCCATTTAGCACTGCATGGATAAAACACTGTCAGAGTCACAAGGGAGTCCGTTCAAAAGTATAAACCTTGATGCAGCAGAACCAGAGATGTTTCCTCTTTATTCCACACATTTTTCTTCTTTGCCAAAATCTGTCACTATTATTACTACATAATGCAACTCAATCTCTGGAGCCCCAAAAGACTCCATACAACTATCTTCACACCAGCCTTAGTACTCCCCAAGACCTGTAAATAAACTCTGATGTGTAAAATTGGAGGAGTTTGCCTTTAATGAGTTCATCGGGTGCATCGTAGAAAGGATGACTTTTTACTTAGCTTTTCAGCTCATATAAATACACACACCAGGTTTTTCATCTAAACAAAGGTCTACTCTGTGATTCTTATCAATCAGCTTCCCATGCTTATGTGTGTGTACACGCACTTATTTTAAGGAAAGCAAACACACCCTGACACATTCCAACATGCTTTTTACAGCTTCACAGAGGTAGCCTTATGTAAATCTCAGCACAGACACATCCAATGACTGTGTGCAAGTGAGTTAAAGATGCAGTAAAACCTACAACTGATTTTATCGTTTTCTTTCTTATGACCACCCTTTACTGTTGCACTGTGCTAATCAGCATGCAGAACTTTCAAAAAGGCTTCGAAACAGTATTTCAATCACTCTGTATGTCCTTTGAAAGATCAAATGTGGAGGAAATTTAACAGAATGATGTGCTGCGAAGGCAGACTGGCTGCAGACTTGCGAAGTGTTGGGGGAGGTTTGAACTCAAGTGGCTGACTTTCACTCGAAGTAATTCGTGATGTCTGAGCAACAATTAACAACCAGTTTTGTAATTGTAAAAAAAATTTTTTTAAATGCCAACATGCCTAGACAATGACTCTTTTCACTCTTACCTAAGGAAGAACAGCTCTCTGAATACAAAAGGCGAGTTACTGGTTCAAATCTAACAGAGTCAAGACAGTCAGTCTCTCCTAGGGCTTCATTCACACCACATACTGCCATGTTGAGCCCTTCATGGATGGTATTAGTGATGTGCAAAATGGCAGTAGAAGAAGAGGGAGTTTTGTGTGTGTGTGTGTGTGTGTGTGTGTGTGGTGTTGGAAGCAGGCAGGAAGACCTCTGATGCGTACACTCTGCATGCTGTGTGCACAGTACAGTGCTGCCTTTGGCTGAGATGTCCTTCTGAACCAAATACATACATAACATGTTCTCTGTTGTGATTATTACTAGTTGCATTCTTATTGCCTGTGGCTATAAAACTATGGTTCGAAAGTTCTGATATCGTCTTCATTTCAGTGACTCATTTGAAAAGAAAAACTCTGCAATATACAAATAATTTACTTCTACAGTATAGAAAAGTCTATTTTGTGTCTGTATGATGTTTTATATTATTTGTTTTGTTCTTAATTTGTTAAGTTAGCATGCTTTTAGCAGAATAATATCCAGAATGAGGCTTCTGTGCTCCTATGATAACCTTAATTCCGAAAGCTAATGCTCTTCGTGTGAGGTGGTCCTTTGTGTGTTCAACCTGTGCTTCCCATTGATGATTTGGTACACACACAGTCCATTTCTCACAGCCTGCAAGAAAATACATTTGCAACGCAGGAACCAAGCAGTGTTTGCCTCACCCTCATTAACACCACTGTGGCACCCTTAAGCAAGGTCCTTAACCCTAAAGTGCTCCAGTGGAGCTGCTCAGTGGCCACTGGTCATAGTTGTAGTGGTACAGCTTCCAGGCATGAATGCAAAGAGGGTGTTTTTTTTGTTTAATTTTTTTTTTTGAAAAAGAGAAGACCTACCCTGAATAAATAAAGGTTAAAAATGCATTATTCTGCTGCTAACAAATTGATAGCTAGCTGCAGAATTAAATGTGTCAAGGCAGTTGGCCAGAGCCAACGGATGTCTATCAAAGTGTAGCATGTGGTTACAAAAAAAATGGAAAACAAGGATGGCACAGACACTGAATAAATGTTTGTAAAAAAAAAAAGGGAAACACAGCAATGATTTTCTTGCTATGAAAGCTGGTTTTACATCATATTTAATATCCTGTAGGCTTATTGACAACTGTGGGTAAGTTAATGTAGCTTTAAAATGAATCTCACTGGCTGCTGCACATTGTTCAGAGGGACAGTACCCTCAACAGAAATGAGGGAGCGAAAGAAGGGAGAGCTACAGGAAATGTGCCTTTGCAAGCCTGGTTTCAAAGCAAAAGCCAACAAACAGCAGAGTCACTATGATTGCCCAGCAATCACATCTTACACTTTATCTTCAATAGATCTTTGTTGATCTGTTGTTAAAGGTGAAATTAAGCAGAAAGTATAAGGTTATGCTTTACATGTTTTTCTTTTAAAGCATTAAACAAGAAGGTTTTGTGAATCTAAGAACAGGCCATGGCACATCTGTAGCACATACTGCTTTGACATGACTGGCTAGACAGGTAACTGTAGCAGTCACCTTTATTAGGAAACAACACTGCCTCAGCTCTCTACTTTTGGTTGCAGTGTGGCTAGAGAGGTCAATGGTCAAATGTTTTAAGGTCCAAGAAAATGAAAATAATTCCTTTTTGACCTGATGCCTGGCCTGAAATTAAACATGTTCCTCTTTCTACCATATGCAAAAGTGGATATGAGCAGACAAGAAAAGTGATCCGCACTGTCAGGGTCCATTATACAGCCTTTGTCTTGCCGAACATTGTTAAATTCTTCCTCGACATCCTGTGTTTCAATATGAAGACTGCTTTCCACTCTTCTGTTACACGGCATATTATTATAGTTTATGCTGTTATTCAATGGTCCTTCTCACCGAGGAAGTATGTTACAGCTCTGTCGTAGCACGTCGAGACATGTTTCACAATACACGGACCTCAATCAGCCGACTACTGCAGTGGGGGTGGGGGGACTGCAGGAGAAATGAGCGCTCTCCGTTCAAACACTCACATGCACAGTTTGAGCTCGAGTCAGCAGGAGATACTGTGGCGAAATCAAAGAGTGAAAAACCTCCAGCAGCCCATATGTGTGTGTGATGTTAAAGAACAAGGAAGTTAATGAGTTTCTTCAATCATTTTCTTACTCTTCTGATTTTTTACATGTTAGTTTCTATGTTCTGGAAAATGGCAGCTAACTTTAATTTTAGGAGGGCCTTCACTAAATCCATTCAGCTTTAGACAACAACTGTCCAAAATACTAAAGAACACTGATTCCATTGATGGGACTTGGCAGGAGTGAAACAAGCTGTAAACACAACTAGCACTGTAACATTTAAAGCAACAGTTGCCTCTTTACAAAACCAGCGAACACATGACAAAATTCATTTGGATTCAAGTTTCTGGTTGCTTGATGAACATAAGTGTAATATCTGCCATGTCTTCAACTCTATTTTGGCCTCCACCAACTTCTGAGAAAAATATTTGGCTCATTAGCGTCTAAATGCTTCATTCTGTTCACATGTTAGCTGCTAATGCTGTCTGCTACTTAGGTGCTTTGTGATCACTTTCAGTAGGGCTGCCCCAAACAGTTAATTTTGAGCTTTGGAGCCTCGATAGTAGTAATGGGTGAATATCTGAATATTGGTTGGGGGGTGGGGTGTTGAGCGCTTTGGCTCCTTTTGGTAAAAAAAAAATTAGGTTGTAGCTCATTGTCTGTCTGCCCTGCTAGCATAAAGAGGTCTTTGTTTGTGTTTTAACAACCTTTTGCCTATGATTTAATGATCTGGGAAATTGGAATCTGTGAATATGTCATCCTAGCATTGGTCTTCTGCTCCTTTATTGAGTTTTGATATTTCTTCAGGCAACAAAGTCACCATTTACAGTAGATTTAGAATATCTGGTCATCTATTTGAGTAATGTGTAGCTTATTTGGAGAGTTGCCCCGTCATTTTTAGAGAGTCAGCCGGCGTATCAGTGTCAGCTGCCCGGTATCAGTGTCAGCTGACCAGTATCAGTGTCAGCTGACCAGTATCAGTGTCAGCTGACCAAGCCATCTCTATCTGGTTCCCTTTTCTCTTCATCATCAGATGCAGACTGCATTGAAATCTCCTGTTGCAAATATTCAAATACTTATGACTGACTCATACCCAAAGGACAAATATCCAAATAGTTAAATAACTGGGTCCAGCCCCAATTTTCTGGGATTTTGGTCATATTCATTTGATATATTTTAATATAACAATATCAATTATTGCAGCTTTAAATATCTATTTTTAGAACATTCAAATAGAATGAGGAAAGTCGGGGGCATGTAGATTTTCTGTTTTCATTTGGTCTAACTATTGCTGTAGCGCTCAACGTATAACAAAAAACCAGCAAGATAATCATTTATACTTTCTTTTAACCTGATGGACCGTAATGTCTATAGGTCCATTTGTCCAGCACTTAGCCATGAAATCTACTGTTGACATTTATAGTCTCCAGATGAAGTTTCTGGTTACACCAAAACCCTTTGTGGAGTTCTGCTATTGTTTTCTAAACCAACATTTTGATTGGGCATCATAAACACTAATGACCAGATCTTTAGGTTATGTGCTTTGTATATTAACCATCCCCAGGGTGTGAATCTTAATATGTTTGGTGACTTTGACATTTTCCTCACATGCAGCCATACATTTTCACATAAACACAGTAGTTATAACAATCACATCAGACAGATCACATGAACATTTAGGAAGTAAACCACAAGCAGCATTCACAACAGCAGAATGTTGTATCTAGAGAGGAAGCTCCTCAAGAAGGAGGCCCTCAGTATTGGCTCCAGCACAGCTCTGACATCATCTGGAAAACTTCTAAAGCTACAAATTCCAATAATGTTTTTCCCCAGCAGGTTGGGGTCACTTTGCTGAGGAACAATTAAGAGTGCTGAGAAGATCAGTGACATCCATCAATAGCTCACTCACCTTGATTGGCTCAGTGCTGAATTGAATCTTCCTACTGGGTGGCACAGGCTCCTCTTCTTCAGGAAGGCCTGCAATTTCGGAGCAACTGGTCTCCGGCTGATATGCCCCCTCATCTTCCTCATACTCCTCATCATCCAGTTGGCTCCCCCCCGAATCCTCCTCTCCAAGCCCACTGTACGCACTGATATCCACCAGATCCCCCTCAGAGTAATCCCCCTTTCTTGAGCCATCCTCATCGTCCTCCTCCTCTTCCTCACCCCTTTTCTCAGAGTCTGTGCCTTTCTCATCTGAGGAGGGAGAGAATGCTGGAGGTTCCCCATTTTCCAGTGAGGCATGAACCTCAGCCTGCACTAGTCTGGCTCCAGGCTCTGAACCCCCAATGGAGCTGTCCTGCTCATCAGCCCGTGGTTCCTGCTGTGAGGTATCCACCATACTTGAGCCCCTGGCTTCATTCATGGCTTGCCAAGTCTCTGACTCAGGTTTGGCATTCGAAGGGGAAGAGGAGGAGGTAAGAGTCACTGAGGATGATGAGGAGTTGGAAAGCTGGTCTCCTGACTGTTTGAATCCCTCGCTGTCCTCACTGCCCCCCACTTGTCCTATGCTCCTCTGTGAGGAACCTATCACTTCTGGTAGCTCTGCTGCCTGGGTTTTCACAGCTCTGGCTGGCACCTTGTCATGGTCCTCATTACTTGGAGGGAACATCTTTGCCTGAGAGAGAGATGAGAGATAATTTAATCATCTAATGCATTCATAGTTTTTGTATTACGCAATTCCTTCAACCAGCTTCCTAAACTTTATTGTAGTTTGTGATTTCCTGCAAGTTAAACAAATTCTTCTTACCTTCCTCGCGACAGGCTCTGGTCTGGCTGGCAGTTTTGGCTTTGGCGCTAGAGCAGGGGCTGACCGACGTTGCGGGAGGTAGAGATTGTTTTGAATTTCGCCCTTTTCAAACACGGCGCTGAGCTGGCTCACAGTGGGGCTGACAGCCTCACCAGGCCTGACTGACACTGCAGCAGCAACAGGAATAGAAGTGGGAACAGGAGCAGGGGAGTCGTCCAGCCGGTCCAGAGCCTCAGTGGACCCATTAAAGCGAGCAACAACATCTAGACGGCTGCCCTGGAAGCCTGATGCTCGCTCCTTCTTCAGCAAGATCCGGTTGGTGGCTGCTTGCTTCTCCTAGTGGAGACAACAGCAATCTTTCATTCATTTATCTCAGGCTGACCAGACAAAATAAAAGTCTAGTACACAAGTACTTACAAGAAACACAAGTAAGTAAACAAGCAGCCGTCTAACCTGTAAAGTTCGCTGCTCGAAGATTCTCCTGGTTTCCTGCAGTTTGGATAAACCTACAGAGGACCTCCCACGCTCCCCGCCTGTTTTAGAGTCAAACTGGTTGACCCTCTCTGAGACTGTGCCCCCGAGTTTGAGCAGGGCACTGTTATCGACGTCCTCGCCGAGGCTGCACGCCTTCGGTAAGGACAGTTTTACCTCCTGCTCTTTACCTACAAATGACAGGAAGGTTCATTGGACAGTTGTTAAGAGAGAAAGGAAAAATTTCAGTTTCATACAACTTAGGTCTTGCTGACATGCCTTCAGTCACGGTTTCAAGCTCTTATGCTAACACTATACTGACCAGATTAACTGTTGAGATTCGGGAACACTGTGAAGTGTCCCACAGGGAAAGAAACATGAGCAGTGAGATGTTTTGAATAAACCCCTCAAGATAAGCCAAAAGTACTTAAAAAAGAATTTATGACCCAAGCTGTCCCTTGCAAACATTAGTTCAGGCTACAGATCAACTTCTCTGTTCAACTTAGACTGTGTTTGACCAGCTGACTTGATTAATGAGAACCCTGTAAAGTGGATCCTAATCATGTAGTTGTTCACTACATATAATATTGTACCAAAAGACTGATAATAATAGGATTATAATTACAATAAGGGAACACATCAAATCAGATTATTTTAGTTTTAACATACCCGTTTGGGTAGTTAGCTAATGTGGATAAGCAAGACAGAGGTTCAGTTTTACTGTTACAATAATCAGTATGCTTTGCAAACATAATACTTAGGCCCAAGTAATGACTTGAACTGGGGCTGCTGGAGTGTGAACCTACACTAATCCACAAATGCTTAACCTGCAAGCCCAGACAATAATGTACTTAGCTAATTGGAAGACATGGAAGGGGTTATAAGCTAGTTAGGCAAACTTGCTAACATTAGAGGCCATACACACTATTTAATCCATTTCTTATACTCATCCTCTTGTGTTTTCTGGTTTTGAAGAGGCTTAAAAAGGATACAAGACTTCAACCACACTGCTTAAACATGCGGAGAATTCAAAATGTGACAGACTTCCTATGCCTAGATAAGGGCACAAAGCTATGACTGGACGACTGGCTGCTACATGTCTAATTAATCAACCAGAGTTAACTATAGGCCTGGCTTGTTGGGGCATGCAGACTGAGGACTGACTAGGAAAGGTCAAGATGAAGATTTGGAATTATAATGCAAGTCATGGTTGGCAAAATTCCCATAATCACCTAGTTACAATTCCCCTCATCCCTTCATTTTAAAGGTCTTAAAGCTCTAACCAGTGAGGTGCCTTACCAATGGTTTTGGCTCCATCCTCCTCATCACCAGGAGACTGCATCTGCATGAACATGTTTTTGATGCGGTGGACATTTGATCCATATCTCCGGTCCATCCCGGACGGGCGGGGCATGAGAGCAGGCTTTGAGGTGGGGTCGGAGCCTCTGTTGGCGGCATTGTTGAGGTGGTCGGTGGCCTTCTTCAGCGCTGCCAGCCCTGCCTCGTAGGCATTGCGATGGGGCGAGGGACTCCGCAGGTTCGAGCTCCCACCTGAGGCCCCGTTGCCCCCTGTTACTGATGGGGGCTCAGTCTTCATCATGTTTGGTAAATCAGATACCCCCTGGTGAACAGCAGGTTAGCAGGGATGAGGACAGCAGCATCCTGGAGCCGTTTCACATTCACCTCCTGAACCACACACAGACAGATCTGTTGTTTATTATAAGAAATGATTCATCACAGATATAGATACCCAAGATGAGTTACCAGAACCCCGAGCATGGTGTTTAAACTAGTGTCTTAGTCTGATGAGCAACCCAATGTATAAATAAACCCAATGTACTCTCTTTGTAATTAAACAGACAAATCAAATCAAACAAAAATAAACATGGAAGAGAAAATATTTCACATCAGAAACTGCAACAATTAGCTATGCAATTGATGCAATTACAATCAATTAGCTGCTCAGCAAAACTTAACTGCCCCTGATTTTAATGACTGATTATTTATCAAGAAAACAAAAACATTTACTGGTTGTTGCCATCTCTCTCTGTGTGTTTTTGACTGTTTGACTGTTTCTATTAACGAAGAAAATAACTGTGAGACTCATCTGTAATGAACATAATAATTACTTGCAACCCTAGTTTAAAGCTGCAGAAGAACAGACAGCAACAGTTGGATTTAACCTTTGACAGACAAAGAACATGTGTTTAAGCAGAAAATGAGGAATCCTATTGGCAAACCTGCCATCAACCAATTCACTGTGTATGTACTTCATAACATCCACATGACACTCCAGGAACAGTCAAAATAATCCAGTTAAAATGATGACGGGCTGTGACCCCTACATGTTGCGCGTGTCTTCATGCTGCTGCTCTGAATGCCAAACTTACTTTGTGACAAAGTCAGCACATGAATACAGAACCCTCCTGTGGTCCCCAGCTATCACACAGTTTGAATTTGTAGTCTGAGCTGTCAGATCTGTGCTGCAGTAACACCTGATGATTTCATCAGGCTTGATGTCTGCAACAACCCTGAATATAATAAAACTGTCATCTCAAGAAGAGTGGAAGAAAACACATATGAGCAAACACAGAAGAATAGAGTTGAGTCAAATCACAGATTTACTGAGACCCAACTTCAGCAGGCTGATATAAAAACGTACCACTGCAAAACATTACATCAGTCTACAGGTAGAGGTCTTAGGAAAATCATATCTATTAGATATTTAAATTATCATAAAAATGTATAAGGCTGCAGTCATCTATCTTTCCAAGCATTCTAGTACTATAATTAACTTAACATCTTCCTTGAAAATGTTCATATTTTCTTTTTTTTTTTTTTTTTGCTGGCTGCCTGGATTTTCGTAGCTTTCGTAGCAATGTTGTGACTAACTTAGCTCAGCAAACCAAAAACATTAAATGAGTAGTTATTGGGAAACGTGCTTGCATTTTTGCCAAGTTACAAGAGAAAAATCAGTGCACTCATGGCTGTATGCTAAATATGAAGCTACCGCTGGAAACCAGTTATGTTGGCTTCACAAAGAAACTGGACACAGGGGAATCAGCCTGGCTCTGTCTGATGTCTGGCAAACTGAGCTCCACACAGCAAGGAGGGTTAAGCACCATATATAACACCACACCTAATTAAATAGGGATCTAGTGTTTACTGCTTAAATCTTAAATGAGAAATAAATGGTTCTGTAACATAGGTAATTACCTAATCAAATGTGGACAAAGCCACTGTGGGATTGATGTGAAAATTCACAGCTGAGGTGTGAAAACGCATACTGTCGATTAAGTTATATTGTCACAATGATACAACATGTCCTTAAATTCAACACTCCTTAAAACTAAGCACAGTCTGGAGTAGCTGATGTACAGCCTTGCCTTGTGGATTTCGTTCTTTGAACCTAAACAAGCCAAATACTAGTCACATTTTCCACCAGAGGAATCAGACCCAAATGAGTGTCCTCTGCATCAGTACTGCATGATGTCATTATTAATTAATGGTGGTTCTGGTTGGACCTTATCAAGTCATAAAGTCAGAAATGTACCAAATGACCACAAATTGCCCTAAATGAACCGCTAAGTAACGGCAACATTTTCCAGTAGCTTTTAAGATCTGTGGTGGTGCTGGAGGGTGAAAGTCACAGCATCAGTCATGTACACTGCAATGTTCAAAACAACCTTCAGTGTTGTACAGTTACCCCAACAGTTTAGCATAAACCCTCAAGACACAGTCTTAAAAAAAAAACGTTAAATTGAAGCAGCAGAGGCCGAGATATCCCGACTGACCATCAATAGTTTAGGACAGACTCAAAAAAAAAAACTTGAATCCTACATTTCCCATAAAGCAGCTCAGCACTGTTTTTTATAGATCTTCTCTACCTGTTAAAAGTCTACATCCCAACCCAAATCTGAGATAACCTTGGCCAAATTTCTATCTAAATCTAGAGCAAATTTTAACCTAATTTTTCAGAAAATGCATTAATACTGTTGGGACACTGAGATGAACAGCTGGTGGCACTAAAACTCCAGCCAGACGCCAATAAATCACTGTAGAAGAGGAGGATGCGCAGAGAAAACTAAAAAGTGATTGTCAAGCTTCAAATGAAGAAAATCACACACACACAGCTGTTTTCATCTGCCACTATGTTTCATCTCTGCAGTGGAGGCTTGAGTGACAAATACATATACAATAAGTGAAATGCTTCACTTTTGTTGCTTTGTCGCATTTTGTTTTTATTGATAAACCAACTTTTCTACCTCAGCCAAGCATAGAAACATTTTTGAGACATTTGAAATGTCTGGCATTTACACTCTGTTTTTTTATGCACACATTGAAAACAGGTGGTTGGAAACACACTCAATGAAGTGATCATCAGGGTTATTTTCACAGACTTTAGAAAACTCCTTTAGAGCCACAAAAAACAGGCTGAGTTTCTGGAGAAAGTAAAATGAGCTTCCTGTGTAAAATGATTGGAGTGCACCTTTACTCTGGCTGCAATGATCAATTATTCTCATTATTGCTTCATCTGCCAAAGACAATCAAACTTTTGAAAAGCCCAAAGTAACAGCTTCAAGCTGCTTGTTTCGGAGATTCTAGCAACTGAGGAGCTGGAACTCAGAGATTCTGGGTATTTTAACTTGAAAATATATGCAGAAAAAAAAATCAATCATCAAAATATCTCTCGTAGGAATAACTAAAGTTTGTGGGGCAAACAAAACTCCACTCATTTACCAGTGTAAACACCTTGCTATAATATGCAGAAATGTGAACTGAAGTCAAAGTAAAACATGCTGGATCATGTTGCCATTGGTCTGGTAGTTCTGGTAATTATGTGTGTTGACATATCAACTGACTTTACATGCTTGAAAGAATAAATCAAATGAAATCAAATCACATCCACTTCCATAGAAACCGTAACAAAATAGCTGCTGATAGGATGTTGCATTGTTTACAGAATTAAGCCGTCTTTCAGAGGTAATAAAAACA